GCCCGATCCGTACCTGCGCCCGCTCGTGCGGTTTGCACTCGAAGCATCATTTCTTGATCCTGCTGAGCAACACTAGAAAATGTTTTTGGTTGGTCAGTCAAGTCGGACATCGGGGGTCTAGGTCAGATCGGAAGCGCTGGTCAGGGTCGACGCGGCCAAGCCCCGCTGGGCAGGCGCGGTCAGTCCCCGGGGCGGCGGCGAGTCGCCCCAAGGCCACTGGCCATATGCCTCTACCCCCACACACACCACCCCTCTCTCCCTCTCACTCCCTCTCCACCCCTCTCCCGCTCCGCCAGGGGTCAGGGGACCATAGGCGTGTGTTGCCGTCTCACTCGCACACCGGTCAGTCCGGTTTTCACACACACACACGCACACACGCACGCACGCACACAACCCTTTTACTCATCCCTTTATACCCGTCGCTGTGTTTCCATTGAGTGGACAGGACGACACCCTCCTTGGCTTTGGGCTCGCCGTGCCTCCGGGGCGAAGGGTGCTATTGCTCCGCTCGGCCCACCGGCCAGCTGCCCATGGCGTGGCGTGGCGTGGCGTGGCGGAGGGGGGGCGTGCCGGCGCAGCGCTCCGGAGGATCACGCGCTGACCCTTCATTGCGCACACCACTACGGCTTTTGGCAGAGATTTAGTGGCCGGGTCACGCTGCTGTTTGGTTTTCGTTGCGACGGAGGGAAAAGGGAAGTGGTGAGGGGAGAGGAGAGGAGGGAGCGGCACAAGGAAGGCCTTGCACGACATCCTCCAACGCGCATCGCATACCCGCGGACTAAACGAGTTTTATGAACGTTGAAAAAGGGGGGGGGGAAGAAATGCATTTACGCCCGTACGCGTCACGGCGACCTCCCGCCCGCGACCGTCTTATGCAGCGGCGTCGTTGTTGCGACATCTCGGAGGCGACTGAGAGGGGAAACAAAAGATCATTTTGTCGCTTCGCAATGCCAAGCATGAAGCGCTCTGCTTTATGGTCATCGGCAAAGAGACGCGACGCTCGGCCGCATAGCGGTTCGACGCGGAATGACGACATCTGCACCGCGCTGAAAGCGCTGCAGACCAAAAGAGAAAAAAAATTAAAAAGAAACCCCCGGTGTGTGTTGCTAATCATCGTCATCATCATCATCGTCGTGCTCATCCTCGGCAAACGCGTCCTGCCGCTGCTGCTGCCGGACGGAGCGAGGCATCCGACACGCGGGTCATTGCGTCGTCCTGCGACGCGCGGGCCGGCCGCAGGACGGCGGCGATAGCCCCTAACACACACCCCTCCGGCCCCCGAAATCCCGCGTGCACAGTGGACAAACCAGTTTGGCAAGTTGGCCAGAGGGTGGCCCGGGCCGGCCGGCCGCTCGGGGAGACAAAAGCGGAAGGGAAAGGGTTGGCGGGGCGCGGCGTGGCGTGGCGTAGCGCGGGGTGGACACGAACCTGAGACAGAGGCCGCGCGCGTTACCTGCTGCAGCGCGCCGCCCCGCGCCGCCCCGCGCCGCGACCTGCTGCAGCGTCTTTTGTTTCAGTAATAACCTTTCCGCGCTGCGCGGGGACGGACCCGGGGGGAAGGGGAGGGGGGAGGGGGGTAGAGCAGGACAGACGGTGCGATGATGAGAATATAGTAGTCAAGTTGCTAGCTTGCTTGCTGTGCTCTGCCGCCTCTCCGCGCCGCGGCGCATGAGACACACGCCTGTAGGGGTCATCGTTTCGTTAGCCAGGAACTTTTTATCCGTTGCAGTTTTAGTTTTGTACGTTATTACTGTGTATACGAGTGAATTTAGTGTTTTGTTTCGCTCCCATGCGTTGCACACAGCAGGTGCGAAAATGTGCGGTCAAATCGACATTAGCGAAATGTCAACGATCGACTCAAATTTAACGCAATCGATCGAAAAATCGATTTTTGGATTTCTTACGATTGCGGGGGCTGCCCCTCGTGCATTTCATTTTGGGTGCGAACGGAGCCGGTCGCTTGCGAGTGTTGTCGTTGTCGGTGACGTGGACGATATGACGTTGCAGTGCGGCTGACCTAAATGAGTTTTGCCGTTGCGCTCGTCACACCGACTTCTCTCTATCCGCGGAACGGCCCGTTTGGTAATGAGCCGCCGGGTGGGCAAAGGGGTTGGCCTCCGCGGTCCGGCCCGGCGGCGGCGGCGCGGCGCGCGGTGGTGTCCGGCTGGTCAGCGTCCGCGACGCAAATGATGTCCCTGAAACAAAAGAGTGTGGCCCGGTGTGGGCCTCGGCCGGCCATTGTCCAGCAGCCCCGCGGCCGCCGGACCGGACAGTTCAGAGCGGCGGGTCAGCTGCTGACCCTTTGAAACAATGGGAGATATTAGGGGGCCGCGCGTCCGGCCGCGATGGGCCGGTGGACAGGCCGGACAACGGATCGGACAGACGGACGCGCGCTGATGGGCTCCAGCGCACCTTGATGATGCACCCTTCCCCGCGCCACCGCGCCACACCGCGCCGCGCTCTGTAAGACAATGAGAAGACGCTCCCCAGCTGCCCCGTCCTGCCGCGCGCCCCGCCCCACCAAAGCAGCGCTCTTGCAACCCTCTATGCTCGCCCAACGGCGGCCGCGGCAGCCGTGCAACGTGCGACCAAATGCACGTGACATTTTTGAAGAATTTCATTATTTGTTTGTGTTAGTATCCGTTCGCAACCGTTTTACACATAGGCTGTTGTTTTTAACAGCCGCAACAGTAAATACAACTTGATCAAGAAGTCTCATGAAAATCACAAACATCAGTAAAGTTTTAGCTGCATTTTAATTCTCTTTTTTGTTGCGTTGCTGTAAGTTTTAGATGGTAGAATTTTCAGTTGCTTAGATTTTCTTTGGCTACTTAGGTGCCCATACAATACAACGCTGACGCGACAGGTCCCTAGCGCACTCTATCAAATGCGAATAGTGTGGCGTTTCTCCTCACGGTTGTCGTCATGTTTCTCGCTCTGTTTTTTCCCTGAGGTCTTCCCCGGTCGAGGGGGTGCTGTCTTCGAAAATCATTGTACAAGGCCGAAAAAATCACAAAAAAAATCAAACGCAATCAAAAAAAATCAAAAAATCAAAATCAAAATCAAGAAATCAAAAAACCAAAAAAATCAAAATAAAATCAAAAAATTAAGAAAATATCATGAAATTTAGGCCTTTTTGTGCCAAAAAATCAAATTTCAGATTTTAAAAAATAAAAAAAAATCAAAAAATCAAAATGAAATCAAAACAATCAAAATGAAATTAAAAAAATCAAACCAAAATCAAAAAATCAAACCGAAATCAAAAATCAAAATTTCAAAATGTGGACTAGCTGGAAATTTTGTTTAAAAAATCATTTTTAAACATTTGAAAAAAATCAAAATAAAAATAAAAAAAAATCAAAATAAAATCAAAAGAAATCATATGATTTTATTTGATTGTCAATCATTGTACAACTTTCGCACAAGACAGCACCCCCTCGTCCCCGGTCTTCCCGCGGACAGCCGTGCGATGCAGGGTGGCCTGCGGGATGGGAATACGGCAAGGTGGTATGGTAAGGGGGGGGGGGGGGGGGGGTAGACCAGCGGCGGGCTGAGGCCGGACGGAGGTGGAGGCTATTTCACAGGGTCCCGTTAGAAGCAGCTGGGCAACGGGGATCCTGGAACACGTATATGTACACGCGTCGTCAAATCAAGTGCTTTTTTACATTTTAAACGGACATTATGACACGCACGCACAGAAATGACAGGCAGAAATAATTTTCCGCTCGACTGGCGGCCCACCGCCACCGCCACCGTGACTTTGGCGTCGGGATTTCGCGAAGCGCCGTTTCCGCTTTGGCGTGGGCTGCACGTCGTGGAGATGGAAGCGAACTTGTTGTTGTTGGGGAGGGACAAAGGCACGGCAGACAGGCGCACCCCGCCGGTGCGCTGGCGCGTGTGTGGATAACGAACGCGATCGGCCCCGGCGCGGCGCCGCAAGTCAAGACGCACCAGACAACAACTACGTGTGTCATGTCATTATAACACGCCAACAACGGCAAGTCGACATGTGCGCGCGCGCGCCTGCGTGTGTTGCTGCTGCTGCTGCTGCGCGGCGGTGCACGACGCGAGGAACTTGGCTCGTTATTGTTGTCATTTATTGGGCGCATTATATTCGCACTGCTAAAGCATTGCTGCGAGGGGCCCTGCTTTGCTCTTGCTGCTCGCGCTGCGGCTGCGGCTGCTGCTTGCCAGCGCCGCCGTGCGCCCCAGGCAGCCCGCCCGCGCCCGTGCGCAGCGGCACTGCCTACCCTGAGCTCGCAAGGCGCTCGGGCACGCTCGCGACCTGTCCACCACCCGCACTTCTGCAACTGCACGCAGGGGCTCCGCGGTCTGTTTAGATCTACCCGTTTAACTTTTCGTTTCCACCAATCAGCACAGCTCCAACGCCCACCAGAGAAAAAAAAATCCAAACCTGGTGCAGAAAAAAAAAAAACGTAAGGTGCTAAATTTGGCATTAAGCCACATTTAGAGCGATTTAGATTTTTTTACCGCTTGCTTGTCGTGTGTAGTCTGCCCGTCCGGGTTGTTGCGGATTATGACGACACCACCGTCCCCACGGACGCCGCGCTGCGGCGGTCGTGTTGCGAAGTCACGGTGCCTAACTGTCGCATTGTCCCCCGGCCGGCCGGCCGCCGTCGTCCCTGCGGACGTCCCATGGACACACCCCAGCTGCCCTCCGCGCCGCGCCGCGCGGCTCCGCGTCCGAACGCAAACATCTCAGTACGCTCGCCGATTAATTACAAAGGAACAAAAGGAGGGAGGAAAAATTAAGCGTCGCCTGTTTGACCTGTTCCTCTCCGCTCGCTCGCCGCTGGTCGCGGCTGCCTCCCTCCGTCCTCTACCTCCCCGTCCTTTCCCCCCGGGCCCGCCCCGTACCCCCACCAGCTCACTGCCTTCGTGTCCGGCGGGCCGGCGGCGGCCGCCCGACCGTATGCGGAAGTAGCGATCAACGGCACAGAGCTCCAACTCACACGTCTCTGGGCTGCGTGTGTGCTCAGGTGACCGCGCGACCGAGGGCCGCGGGCCGGACGTGCGGCAGGCGCGAGGACACCGCCGAGGACATCGCCGAGGGTCATCGCTGAGGACACCGACCAGGGCCATGCACATCACCTAGGACACCGATCAGGGTGTTCTCAAATGGAAGCGGGGCCGCGCAGGACGTGGCCAAGACACCACAGCCCAGGCACAGCGGACACACCCAGGACACCCCCAGGACACCCCCAGGACACCCCCAGGACACCTCCTAGGACACCGACCGGGACAAAGGGGCAGGACGTCGTTGCCGTTGTCGCTCTGGCAGAGTGAAGGTGCTGAGCAATAGGCAGGTGGTGAGTGTGGCAAGTTACATACGACCATAATAATGCGAAAGCTATAACAGTAGGCTGACTGAAGTATTCATTTTGCTGACCGTTTGACCGTTATCATACAACAAATTTAGTCTTTTTAAAGAATGGTATTCTTTCGTGTCCGCAGCAAACGCCAACCTGTTTGTTCGAGAGCCTCCTCGGTGACTGCAACCCATCAGACATTTCAACAAAGTTTCACAGGTATGTACGGTGACTGTATACAGGGTGGTTCACAGACCCCTTCCTTTATTTTGCTTATACTGTACCGCATGCACAGATGCAGGCAGGCGTGCGGACGGGTTGCATACTCGCACGGGGCCATAAGGCGCCGCGGTGAGCGACGGTAGGCAAGCCCGCCCGCACGCTTGCATGCGGTACAGTATAAGCAAAAGAAAGGTAGGGGTCTGTGGACCACCCTGCCCCTTCCTGTAATTTCCTCACACTGTACCGCATGCAGGCGTGCGGGCTTGCCTACCCTAGATCGCCGTTGCACCTTATGGCCCCGTGCGAGTATATGCAACCCGGGCGAACGCCTGTGTCCGGTACAGTATAAGCAAAATGAAGGAAGGGCTCTGTGGACCAACCCCCATAACAACACGAAATCTAGAGGAATTTAATGTATGCGAGCGAAAATAATATTTTTGGGGGGTCAACACTAACAAAAATCTTTTCCTGTGGTTACAAAGTCATTATTCTCCGTTATTTTTTGTTGTTTGCTACTTTGCTCCCTTCTTCTTTTTTTTTAACATCGCCCCCTTCAGGCGGAAGACGGCTTTGGGCAAATAATTAACATAAACAGCGGATATTTTCCTCGCCGGGGTGAAATAGAGCAACATTTTTCAGGCAAGAATGCGAGATAGCCGCTGCGAAAAGGCAGAGACGTCGAGAAAAGGGGTGGAGCAGCCCGGGCCAAGTGAGAGAGAGGGAGAGGGGTGAGGGGCGAGAGAGGGAGAGAGGCCGATACTGTCCAGAAGGCATGGCAGATAACGCCAAAGAAATAAGACATTTCCATCTCAATTTCTCGAGGCCACCCCGCGGAGCCTCGGCGGCGCGGCGGGGCGTGGCGGGCGGGGCTTTGGTGAGGGCGTAGCGAGCGCGCTGCGCCTGACACCCCCTCCCTGCCCATCCTCCCCTCCGGCCGGCCCCCGG